CAGCTTGTAGTCTTAAGGCTGCCCCTATAAAAAACGGCCACCAGCTGAAGAGTTTGCTCTAGAAAGATCAAACTTGTTCCTAGGTCTGACTCAGGCTTACATACTTGCAGTTTTGCCTCACCCAAGCTGTGTGTCTGCAACTCTAGACTAAAGTACCCTGCACTCTCATACTTGTTTTCCTCCTGGCACTACAATTCTTTCACCCCTGGTTGTGTACAGCCCCACGGCGGGTGACAGGTGAATGGAAGGAGCATTCACCCCTCGCTGTGGCTCTGTGCTTGAGTCACGCCCCTGCAGGCAGATTATCATGAACTGGGGAATCCCTCACGCTGAAATGTCCCCTACCCAGGCCTCCCCCTTATGAGGTTACTGCTCATCTGCTAGGCCATTCTCTGAAAGGTGAATGCCATGAGTACCATAGTTTTCATGAACATACCAAATACAGCATACGTTTGTATAAGAGCAGCTTTAGTGGCTATGTTTTTTAGATCAGAATTATTGATGTACACACAGCCAAGGCTTAGATGTGTACATCTAAGCTTTGTCTAAGCTTTGGCTTGCAACGAGGCGTAGGCAGGAGCTAGACGCCTCACTTCTCAAGCGTGGGTGATTTGGAGTTGTGCTGGATGCACTAACTTGACAGCACAACGATCAGCCAGAGAGGTGCCTACTGAGACATCATGGATAGTCTACATCAACCTATAAAACACAGATACCTAAATGTCATCTAACTGGTCTGGATCTTATCCTGTGAGCTACTTCAGTTAGCTAAAACATACCTGAAGTACACTTCTATATTTCACCTGAAGTATACAGGTAAAATGTCCCTGTGATTCACTGTATATTTGTTGGCCTCCAGGTAGTTTACCAGTCATATTTATAAGAACTTTGTGAGACATTTCAGGCTAATAAGCAAACTTCAGGGCAGAAAAAGTATTGACAAACAAGCTTTCAGCAACTAGGTGTCTGTTCATATTCAGCCACCTGACTGGACTGAGTTGGCATCTTTAAAACAAGAGAAGTTTTGGTTGCATTAGTCTGCTGGTGTCTTTTACTTAAAAATTAATTAAATGAAGTTTCTGATTTAACTGGTTGCCTTGCTCCCCCGTCTGCTTTGAGATGTATTAGATAAACAGTATAATGAAATATTAGTATTTTCTTTTCTTTTCAATATTCTCTTCACAGTTGGAATGCTACATTCTTTGGGTGTTCAGAGACTTGCACAGTCTTGACTACCTTAGAAAGTCTGGCCAAGCTATTCTTTTCCATCTCTGAATACACCCGCACAACTCCCATTACAGCTGATGGAGTTATGTATGTATATACATTTAAGAATGAACTGCATGTATATAGTGCATATACTCCTCAGCAATGTAATTAGACACGCATGCATGTTTGTAAGTAGAAAGATGATTCACCACTGTGTGTTTCTATGTGCATAAAGCCTAACATCAATAAACACATTAACATATTAACTAAAACATTCTGATCCCTGAAGATAGGCAGCTGTTGAACTAGCTAGAAAGTAGTTAGCTTTATAAAAGATCAATTCATACTTTTTCATAACATTTTATCCTCTTACAATAAAATAGTTTTCAAAACAGTATCAATAGGTTACCATTCAATTTAACTTTTCTTTTACACCGTATCTCATTTAGGTGTTTTTTTTTTTAAACAAAGCATTTCAATACCAATTTTGTAGTGAGGTCAGGTAAGAAGCTTAACAGTGATTACTGTCTGACAGCTTAATCTGTGCAGTCTTTTGTCAATTTTTCTAAAAGGTATTCAGGCAAAGGTTCTACATGAGGAAAAGCAGCGATTTTTAGACATCTAGCAACATATAATTTTGTTGAATTTGCATTTAAAAAATACTAGATTTTTTTAATTATGCCTGCTTGTTTCTATTACAATAGGCTTCCTGTAATGAGTCTTATCTAAATGTGATGTTGACTGTCACCACTGTGTTATGTCTCCTACTTTTTAAAAATTCACTAAGATCTGTCTTTCTATCTTTTAAATATTTGATCCACATTACTAGAGAGAATGCTGTGTCACACGATTCTAAAAATAGCAGTTTTCTTAAAGCTGATAACCCAGGGACATTTTGGGTCCTGCATAATTCACTCCTACATTATATATTTGACTTTATTACTTTGTAAGTGCTACTATCTTCAAAAAGAAGATTCATTTTACATAAACTGGAAAAAAAAATTCTTACTAACTATGCACTTTTGAAAATCAAAACTATACATAAGAATTAAAACATGGCAAAATGCTAGGTACCTCATACAAAGTAATCACACCATATGTTTGCACTGGCTCTCTCCATTGAAGAAAAATCTTCTCTTCAAAGGTACTGCCTTGAATGGATTCAAGTGGCACAGCACTCGGGACTAAAGGATAAAAAAAGGAAAAAAATGCTGTTTTGAGAAAAATTTCAGGAGGAGACACTCTGCTTAATATTTGCACTGTTGAGGCATAAAACCATCCCACTATTATTTCCCCAAGACTGAAGCAAAGGCCAGGGTAGCTCAGGAGGAGAAGGATTTATTTTACAAGATAGTGCCATTAAGGAAACATATGTGTCACCTTCAGTGTAAGAAGGAATTAGTGAGCATCGCACTTTTTCCGTAAAACACTATTGATGAAAGAAAAGGACAAATCATCTTTTTATAAAGAATTAGGCGATATCTGGAATATAAATTATTGTAAATAAAACCTATTTGTGATACCTACTTATCAATAGTGTTACTGTCCCATAGTGAAAAACATATCAATATATGAAAATGGACAAGCATTGAAGTAACAAGGTATAGTTTCAACAGACTGAACTAGAATGGTTAGCTTGGAAAGACGAGCCACATGTTGCATAGAACAGCAATGCTCACTGACATTAGGCCTGAAGACCTACAACAGGGTGAACATAAGGAAATTATGAAGCAGCCAAACTGAATATCTGACATTATTCATTTTTCTTAAAGTCTCTTAATTTATGAGAATGACCTCTGAAGAGTCAGGGATGTCAGAAGGTTCTGATAAAAGATGTCAACCGCTCTCAGGTATCTACTTCTGTTTCCTGTTTGTTCTGCAACAATTACTTTATCCCTGAGCCAACCTCAATGCAGTTTTCAAAGAAGGAGATGTGTAAACAAGCACAAGGACCAGTATCTGCAATTATATTTTTGTAACAACACTTGTTGTGAAAAGAAAGTCCTGAAAAATGCACACAGGACTGTTGCAAGGCAACAGGCATTGATTGGTTAGCACTTTTCCACAAACTGTATGTGAAAATCCAGTAAGAAGATACACAACATTTTCCACATGCTGAAGAAAGAAGGTGGAAACCACTTGCTGCAGTGGTTGAATTAACTTCTCAGACCCCTTACTGAGATTTACGTGAATGATTAAAGAATAGGAAGATCTGAAAGCAAGCCATCTGGTGACTCCTTTCCGTTGCTAGGTCTGGTAGAGCACTATCCTCCTCCTCCACCTCCATGCTGTTGGTCTGCAAGGGTACACGGTTTGAGACTTCATAATCACCTCTCCATAGCTCTCCACAGAGTCCCTTGCTCTACCAAGGGGAAGCTCCAAGGACATAGGTGATGGTTTCTGAACTGGTTTACCAGTCCTGTATGGACCAGTAAGATTATGCCCTTAGGGCAACTTTATGTCTGGGCGCTAACCTTGCTTCCAAGTAGAAGAGAACTGGTAAAGCTCATTTGGAATCATGGGGTTAATGATTTATGTCTAAAGGGAGAGGAATTAAATCGTGTAAGTTGGAAGTACAGCAAAACACTGTGGTAACCCTCTAAAATTATCTGAAGGCCGTAAGGGCAGTTATGCCATAAGGGAGGTCAAACACTGGCAGAGGTTACCTAGAGAACTTGTGGGATATCCATCTTTGGAGACAGTCAAAACTCAGCTGTACAAGACCTTGAGCAATCTGCTCTCACTCGACCTGCTCTGAGCAAAAGGTTGGACTAAATGAGCTCTGGAGGTCCCTTGCAACCTACACGATTCTGTGAATCAAAAAATTATGATGATTATTTGGGTCAGTATACTCTGTTGTGTTATATGCAGATTTATGTACCTTACTGAAAGTGTATGGTATACTAAAAAGTTGTAATTTTTGTCCAAGGTATTCTCTCAACCACAGATGTTGATTTTTAATAGGTCTTGGAATAATATAAAGTTCCAGAGGGTCAGCAATAAGAAAATATTATGAAAAATTTTAGAGAAGATACATAAATGGCCCAGATAAGAATAAGGTCTTTAGCTTTGTCATCCTACAATTGAAACGAATCAAAATTAGAGGATGACAGCAAAATTAATTCTAATTAAACAATTTTTTTGTTAGCTATACTGTGTCAAATCTGTTGCAGTAGCAACTATACACTCCTAAATTGTTTAATTTATTCCCTCGTATATTTTGACTAGAAATTAGTACTACACAAAACCAATACAGCACGTATTAAATGATTTAATAGGTTTAAATGACAGACTTCAAGTATTTATTATAAGACGAACTCATCATTGCTGAAGTTTTTTCTAGAAATCTTTCCAACGTATTTGCAGTAAATCTATCATTGATCTGGAAGAAAATACAAAGCCATTTCTGTTCAGATTGCAGACGATAAAAATGGGAGGAGGACAGATGTGTTACATAAAGCAATTCCTGTCATTTGATAATGTTTCTTTGAACAGTATGCATTTTAAAATGGCTAAAAGCAAGGTCAAAAAAACTAAGGTACACTTGTAGAGGACCCTTAGGGGCTATACCTCAGCACAGAGTGTTCTGGAAAGGCGAAACTGATTCCTGGTGCATGATCAATTCAACAAGGAAGTCTCATTTTGGTATTGTAGCTAACAGAGCTCCAGTAAACTCTCTGCATGTATAATCACAATAATATCACAGAGAACTTAGGAGGATAGTATAACCTTTTCATGCAGTATTACTAGAGCATTACAGAGAGACAGTAGCCAATTCTGATGTCTATGCTTCAAAAAAGACACTCACAAATTATGTTATTGCTCAAAATAAAAAAATGAGATCTGAAAACCCCATGTTAGCCGAAAATTACTAAAAGGAAGGGAATATCTATACATTTGAATGTCTGTATGTGGAATCTATTGTCTGAATAAGCAACTAACAGCGTCCAGTGGTTGGAAAGCCAAAGCTAGATAAATTGAAAGCGCAAATCAAGAACAAATATTTGATGTTGAGCATATCACTCAGTAGAAAAGCTTACATGAGGACACTGTGGACAATCACCTGAAATTTCTTCAAACTGACACTGGAACTTTTAAGAGGCAGGACATAGTTCAAGCACAAGTTATGAGTTTAATGAAGAAATGATTAAATGATGTGTGATGTTATCGGTTATGTAAAAGATCATTATAACAGTTTTAACGGACCCTTTACTGTCTTAAAATTGCTGAAGTTGGTGGAAAATCTGTTACAGATTTTAGTGAAAGTAAAACATACACTTATAGAGAAAAGCATATTGACTATCAGGTAGTATGCATGTACAATGCATACATATATGTAAATACAAAAACTTACCATCTTCATCAGTTTGTACTACAAGTTCTTGGCTTTCTTTTCGTCCTTCAGGATTCATTAGTACTAATTTGATGCTGACATTTGTGTATGGTGATAGATTAGTAATTGTGTGCTGGGGATGTGAACTTTCTGTATCCCAGCTTACTTCTTCTCTCACTTGCTCTTGTCCTCCAGCCTGGTAGCGGTAATGGACTGTGAGGTTGTATCGATGGCAACGTGTGACATTATATCCAAATGGTTCCCAGCAAATAGTGATTTGTCTAGATTTGATCTCCACAACCTCTAGTTTTCGTGGCCCACGCATTGGATCTGCAAAATTACCAACATAATTTTGGTATGATTATTTATTCATATCATAATAGTAAGTAACATGAGTAATAAGAAGTTATACAGTTCTATAAATATGACATATAAGCAGAAACAGAAATTCATTGCTTTAGCTCTCATAGTGCAAATGACAATAAAAGGTCTCTGAAAAATCAGGAAAAAAAAACAGTGAGAAAAGGAGAGAGAAGTGTCTTTGATGAAAAATGAAGAGCAAACAAAATACCAGAAAGTTTTTATGCTTAAACTCAAACTGCACGATACAGTTTAAATGATGCTTACTTCTGTACCTATCCGTTGCTTGCAAAAGATATGTCCAATTTAAAAAAAAAAAAATTAGTTTGTGTTCACAATTTTAGAGCAAAAACTTTCACAAAACAAGTAGCTAAAAAGAAAAGGCAATTTTAGGGAAAATTTGCAAATACCTGGTGATTTTCTCCCAGGACTGTTTATACAAAGAAAAAGCGTTAGGTGGTTCTTCAGCTATTCCTTATGCATTTGTTTTTAAGTAGACTGAATGCAATTACTCAATCTCTATTTGGCCAGGACATTAAGTTAATATTCCAATTCCTTTAAAATAGTCCCTAGGGCTCTCTTCCCATAAACATTAGTTGTTAATAGCTTCCTTCGTTTTTTTTTTTCTTTTTTTACCACATCTAAAATAAACAGTGCAAATATCTCAGTTTGTAGTAGTGGTTTAGCAAAGAATCAAAAGGAACAACAGCAGGCATATCAGCTGATATCCTACTGCAGCTGAGCTTTCCTAGAGATCTTCCATTTGATTACCAGCCATAAATCACATCTAACAAAATCATACCCAAGAACTTATGGCTATCTTTATACAAGAGCCAAAGATTGTGGTGGATGAAGTTAAATTTTTTTCAGTCCTACTGGTCCCAGCAATTGAGATAGAAAAGTGAACCCAAATTTCCACCATATTACAGCAAAACCACTGAGCTGACACACACCCCACATTTTCAAAACAGTCATTAATAGAGCTATTATACATATTTAGCAATAATCTGGGTTTTTTTCATATTGGAGCCCTCAAAAAGATTAAAAACAATGTCTGGTTTTATCCACTGCTTCACTAGTTAAATGCTTAGAAGACTTTTAATGAGCTAGAAGCCTCTTATACATAAACAAATTAATATGCATCTTCCCTCTTTTATGTTTATTAATCAACATGTCTTCACTAGGAATGTTCTAAAGAATTTACACAGGATTTCATCTTTTTACTTTTTAATAAAATCCCTGCATGCTTGAAATATTTGTTCAAAGATGTTATTCATCTTAACTCCTTGAAGAAAAGGTGTTAAGAAATTGCTTGTTCTCTCTAGCATCTACAAAGCAGGGTATTTTTTTCCCCTTTTAAATCCTCCAGCTTTTTTTTTTTTTTTAATTAATTGCCACTACCCAACAGTGTTGATCACCAATATAGAATATTTGCCAATTGGTGACAAAATGGCAAAGCAAAAAAAATTCAATAACAGATCTAATCCTGGTCTCCTTTCTAGTGACTAGACTGACTGGTAAAAATGTCCTCACCAAGGATAAATCAGTATAGAGCCATTTACCTGCTTCCACACTCAGATACCCCAGCTAAGAATCCTGGTGTTTGGGGAGTTTGGGATATTTTCTATTGCTACAACAATTAAGAGTAATGAGAAGCAAACCTCAAAACTGGCAAGTCCTAGGAGTTTCATGTCTTCCTTAAGCATTTACTTCTGCATAATTCAGACATAAATTTCATTAAAAAGGTGTTTTCGTTTTTTTTGGTTTCATATCAGCTTCTAAGCATTATTTCATTTAGGTGAGACTATGAATAGCAAAGGACATTTGATGAGTATTGTGTAACTATAATGCTATCTGAATGGGCTAAATAGGACTAGAAAATCAACAAAATTGAGGTGACCCTGACATACAACATTAAGCAGTTGAACAAAGTTCCTAGCTGCAAGAATATGGAACAGCCTGCTTAGTTCCATAGTAGACACATCAGAAAATTCACAGGGGAGCTGAGAAATCATTTTATTAGAGACATAAAACTAATTCATAGCATTTTAAAACTGAAATCGAGTGGATGTACAAAAAAACTGCATCAAAACCTATCCAAGATTTCTGCCCAAGAGAAAGATATTCTTATGTCACGTTACCTTAATAGAAAGTACAAGTTAGCCCTCTAATTAAATCCTGAAGTCATTGCTATGAGAATAACAGATGCATTTTCACTTCTAACAAAACAGACAAGGGAAAAAAATGATTAGATTGTAAAAGATTGAGACAATACAGCTTTTGTTGATACTTACAGGATAAAGCTCATCAGACAAGGCAAATACCCGGGTTGCTTTAGTTCCTGGCTTGATTCTGTAATCTATAGTATCTTCTTACCATTCTTTCTTACCATTCATTCAGAGATAATGCAACTGATAGGGACCTAATGACCCCTTCCTGGGGTAAGCGTAGTGTGTCAACCAGTTAATGTGTCAACCAGTCAACGACAGCACTTAGTGGAAAGAAAGGGAGAGGTAGGATATAAAAAAAACTTGGGACACAGCAGAGAAAGACATTTAAGGAAAAATAAAGCAAGATGCTTTATTTTGTATTTTATATTTATATTTTATTTTATATGATGCACCAGCTGGGATAACCGCTAGTTCATGGGGGATGTCCACTGAGAAAGTGGGGTTGAATATTCCAAAGAGGTTTGTCCATGAAAGGGCCTCTGAAGATACAGGCCTGTACTCCAAAGAATTTACCCATTTTGTGTCCTCAAACTCACTTTTAAATTCTCCAAATGGACATGGTTAGTGGAATAGATGATGCTTTATTATGTCTTTCATCAAATAAATCTAATTCCTGAATTACCACTACTTTATCTGCTTTATTTTATTTTTCTTTCCAATACCACACTTCTTTCATTTATCAGACGTGACTTCATTACAGACCTGAGGATATCAGTTCTCATCTGCTCTATACAGTTGAGTTCTCAGTTATAACAGATCTATGCGCTTCAAGTACATGACAATTTTTGGTTAAATTCAGTTAATTCATACAGTAAGCAGGAAAGAGATGAAGGGAAACACGTCTACTTTTAACCAGAAAAAAAGGCTAAGGTAACAATGGAATTTTTGGATTAAAAAAACACGTGGCTCAAAACAGCCATGAAAAATAGCAGCTATTGCAACAAAAGATAGAAAAAGAAGTGTCCATTTGATCAAGTTAGCACTGAGCTTCTCTGGAGGTATCATTGTATACCCCAGAGGAAATTTTTAATGTGATATGGTTCTGAAAGCACAGTACACCGCTTCCAATACACTGGAAAGTATATGCTCTTCATCATGAAGCAGGCAGAATATTTGGGGGAAGAAAACTGTTAAGCAACACAAAAAGAATGACAGCTAATGACTATGGTTTAAAAGGGAAAGCTGAATTAATTACCACAGCATGATGACTTAATTTCGTTGATTTTATTTTCTACAGGATCTTTTTATCACTTTCCCATGGTAAGTTCCCAACTTTGAGTGAAAAAATAAGCATTCTATAGAGATGCTGCTGTCGTGCTCATGAGACTTGCACTAACTATTCATGTAGTACTTGAAGGTTGCCATCCTAGCAACGGTCTGCTGTTGTTACCCCGCATCAGGTAAGGTAAGTGATAGCTACATAGAGAAGTGTCATTTCACAGTGCTCATCACAACTGAAATCACATTTTTTAGAGTAGAAGATGAATAAGGAGATTAATATGCCGCACCGATTATATTATATGCAACGTATACACCTCAATCCACAACAGCTATTTGCTGAACCTCTGTTTTTTCCTTACTTGGTAAAGGCCCACCCGCAGAGAGGTTATACAGCCAGACCTCTCCACTCACTCTGCAGATCTCTAGACGAACTGAGCCTCTGTTGTTCCTCAGTATTCCAGCTGTTTTCTTATGCCTCGCTGGTACAAATCATGAGGCGAATGGGGAAAATAAGGCCTACCAGTTCATAAGAGAAGAGGTTTTCCTCCCAAAGGGGCACACTGCCTGTCATGCCTGAAGCTTAGCCAGGTAGTTCTTACTAATTCCCCTGCTGGTGCCTGCAGCATTTTTCATACCGCTCTCCTGCCAGCTTCAGCAGGGTATCAGGCAGTGAAGTCTGACAGTTGCAGCTCTGACCTGAGGGACCAGCAAGCCCAGTTCTAGCCTCTGGCACTTTGGCATCCAATTTAATCGGTGATCTTGGCTTCTTCTCTGCTCCTCTCTGTTTTCCTGAGAATATGGCGCAGAGACTGACAGACAGGATCAATTTCCATTGCAGCTGCAATTCACAGCTCATTTCTCTGGAACTTCACACTCTACCTCCTACCACAAGTATAATGCTTTTTCAGAAACTCAGTTTCAGAATCACAGAGACGTTTAGGTGTATTTTTAGCATCCTGTCATTGATCATCAAAACTTGGTTTTAGAATGAAAACTCAGACTGGAAGTTTTGTCTTTTCACCACAGACTGCACAGACCTACTGAAATAAGAGATGAAGAAAGGAACGGCATGGTGATTTTCTGCCACTTCATGATACTCCAGTAGCTGCAGACATCTGCTATGTGTTAGGTACCATTTGAAAGACATCTGAACAATAGGAACGAAGAATTTACTTCTTGTCTAGGCAAACTATTAGTGTGGTTTAGCTCTGTAATCACAATTCTTGTGATTTAAATTCCAGATTGGACTCCATTGTCCTTCCACAGGAAGTAAAGAATGAACAGAACAAGAAAATGTAAAAAAATAAGATGAAACCAGAATCATCTGAGATTTAAGATATTATCCACTACAGCTCTTCTAAACACAAAATTTAACTAATGATAATTAAATGTACAGGCTTTGTCACAGATTGCCTAAGCAGTCATGTTCAAATTACTTAAAATCTTTTCACATCAATTCCCTCTGAGTAAAGTGGGAATCACAGTACTCTAGCATTAGTATCAGAGGGTGTCGCATAT